CTCCATCTGGACATTGAGCCGTTGACCACTACCTTCCGGATGCGACCATCTAACCAATTCCTCACCCTTTACTGAACAGTCCACCCATCAAATCCATACCTCTCCAATTTAGAGAGAAGGATGTTGTGGGGGACCATGTCAAAGGCCTTACAGAGGTCCAGATAGACAACATCTGTAGCCCTTCCTGTGTCCACTGATGTAGTCACTCCATCATAGAAGGCCACCAGGTTGGTCAGACAGGACTTGCCCTTGGTGAAGCCATGCTGGCTGTCTCACATCACCTCCCTGTCCACCATGTGCCTTAGCATAGCTTCCAGGAGGATCTGTTCCATGATCTTCCCAGGCACAGACGTGACACTGACTGGCCTGTAGTTCCCCAGGTCTTCCTTTTTTCCCTTTTTAAAAATGGGGTTATGTTTCCCTTTTTCCAGTCACTGGGAACTTCACTGGACTGCCACGACTTCTCAAATGCGATGCATAGTGGCTTAGCAACTGCATCTGCCAGTTCCTTCAGGACCCATGGATGGATCTCGTCAGGTCGTCTTGAACCTGATGTTCTCCCACAGTGGGCAGCTCTTCATTCTCCCAGTCCCCACCTTTGCCTTCTGTGGCTTGGGCGGGGAGGCTCGAGCTCTTGCCAGTGAAGACTGAGGCAAAAAAGTCATTGAGTACCTCCACCTTCTCCACATCCCGGGTAACGAGGTCTCCCATTTCGTTCTGGAGAGGGCCCACATATTCCCTCGTCTTCCTTTTATCCCCGACGTACCTATAGAATCTTTTCTTGTTGCCCTTGATGTCCCTGGCCAGATTTAATTCTATCAGGGCTTTAGCTTTCCTAACCTGATCCCTGGCTGCTCGGACAATTCCTCTGTGTTCCTCCCAGGCTCCCTGTCCTTGCTTCCGCCCTCTGTAGGCTTCCTTTAGCTGCCTTGGTGCAGTTGGGGTAGTGATCATGCATGAATCAGGATAAATGTTAGCGTGGGCTCTGAGCAGGGACACAGTCCACAACATGGGCCTTTCCTCCTCTTTATCTACCCTCCAGGGCATACATGGATTGGCTTGGGCAGGACAGTGCTTGAACCCTATAACTGTCTGATTAATATTTAACCAAAGTAGACTCCTGCATATAGCACTGCCACAGGGGTAGGTGATATTTTTGCACCTGAATTGCAAGCAGTTTAAAAATTATGTGCCTAGCTGGGTTGTTATCTCTTCAGGTAATCCACAGTTTTGTTTCTCCCTTCTTAGGTGGGGGACACTTACTCGCCTCGCTGCACTGGCAGTGTACCAGGCTTGGGATAAGTATGAGGCTGAAGGTTGCAGATAAGAATTTCCACGTATAAGTTGGGTTTCCTTCTAACGACCTCCCATCCCCTTCCTGGTGGTTGACCAGTGCATGAATTCCGTGAAACCCTAGTGTGCTTCCCTGATGGTTGTATTTCACTCTCCATAGCCAACATCTCATTGCATCATACTGTTGCTACAAGGGTTGGGCCAGGAGTGTGTGACAGAAGCATGGGCTGGGGTAGTCACAGTAGTATGAGAGGGATAATTTGAAGGTGAGAGTGGAGAATGGCACAGCTAGAGCCATCTCCTCAGAGCCACATCCTTCTCTTATTGGCTTATAAGCTAAGAAACGGAGTTTCTGTGCAAGAAACCTAGAAACCACCCAGTCCCGCAGCAGCAAGTGCCTCCTCCCAAACCCCTCTCCATCTGTATCTGTGCCAGGGCCAAGCTTGTACTTCAGCAATGGGGGCTATGCCAGCTCCACGTGGGTCAACTTGCTTGACCCAGTCTAGCAAGGTGTCTACCCCTTCTTGCTTTTAAGGAACGTAGCCCACCCATCGCCTTGACCTGGACCTTGCTACTACCCTACAGTAGGGCAGTATTCGTATGGTGTAGGCAGACCAGCCTGTCCTGCAGCAGAGCTGGGTGGTGCATCCAATGGACACATCTAGCCAAGCTACTCCCCCTCTAGTAGGAATGGCTCATAGTGGGTATTTTGGTACCTGCTACAGAGGTAATGACAGAGGAGTGCAAGAAGGGTGTACTTACCATTGGTGTCACAGGAATACAGGGCTTGGTGCAGGGTCCTGCCTGCACCTCAGGTCCCATATAGCTGTATACATAGCAGCCGTCTCTCCTTCATGTCTTTTGACAGTCACTGGTCTGCGAGATTGTTGCCTTTAGCATGGATATCTGTAAAACAAAGTGTAATTCACTTTTCTGAGTCCCAGACTCTACAGTTTATAGCATCCCGCTTCCCGTGTGCCACCCTCATCATGTGAAGGTACAAGATGTGGCTGCTTCGGGGAGGGGTCCATGTTCCTCCTTATGTGCAGATGCACTGTGTTTCAGCAGGTTTTGCACTAACAGAGTTAAGATCCTGCTGCCCCCGTCTCCTCTGTATTTGATGATTCTATTGGGGATATGAAGGTGCACCTTCGCTAGGCAATGGGAGGCAGCCTCATGTCTTCCTCTCTCAACAGAGTCCATGCCACGGCGTGTGGGTGGGGTACAGGCGCTGCCTGGTCTCCCATCAGGGCTCCTGTTTGTTACAGTGCTCATTAGGGAAATGTGGCACTGAGCCTTTGCTAAAGGAGCTGTTCCTATCTCAGCACCTGACCAGGTGAGAGCCTTTGTGGCTCAGTGGAGGTGCCAACCCCTGGCCAGGCGTGCTGCGTTGGGTATCGTCTTTCCCAACGTTTGCAGTTCCTGGGATATTTGTAGGGGTCCTTCTGGAGGTGGAGCTCCCATACATGCAGGGTTGGGTGCGTGACGCTGGTCTGTTACGTGTGTGGGCACTTAGGAGTTAAGTACAGAAAGAAGCAACCTCTTAGGTCTTACTGCAAAGGAAGTGAGTCCTCAAGTCTTGATTTTTTGCACAATGAATGAGAAAAATGCAATGTAGTTTATGTGTTTAAGAGACAATCATTAATAATACAACATAAGGGCACCTACACACAGGCTCCTGACAGCCTGACCCTCCATTAAATCACTGTATTCACTAAAGCAGATCCCATTGAGGGATTTAGTCCATGAGAAGTTTAAAGATTTCAAAATGTGATTTTTTTCCAAATCATGCTGAAAAGCTGAAATCTGAGAACATTTCAGAACACATTCAATTTCACCCTCCTTGAAGAGGTTCATTCTGCTAGTATCAAAACATTTCATTGACTTCAACATTTAATTTACTTGAATAATTTATCACTGGTAGAGTATATATCAAGTGAAAAATGAAATAGGTATTTTAACTTCATAAAAAGAAAATGCATTAATAACATTTCCCTTGAAAATTAACATAATACTTCTATTCTGACCTACTTCTACTCAGGCTAATCAGCATCTTGTGATACAAAATACTTCCATGAGAATTTTTTCAAAAGCTCTGATAATAATTATCCCCTAGAAGCAGTAAAAAAAGCAGGCATTCAGCCAGGAATAATAGCTCAGGCTGCTACCCCAGGAAATTCCTCTTTCTGTCCTGCCCAGAAACCTTACCGATAGGTGGCTTTGGTAATACTAACCACTGCTGGTGTGAAAAGACAATAATTAACAATTATAATCACAAAATTGCTTTAAAAAAACCTCGTCCTTTTGCTGCTTTGCTGGGAAAAGCCTGTATAACTTCTCTACAGTAGCTTCATCCACCCATTAACTAATATGTGTATCATGACATTCTTTTCCTTCCCTCGATTTTGACAGGGCTCATTCAATATTGAAAGATGTGCTGGAGTGCTACAGCATCAGCATCCACCTACAGAGATACATACATATCTCATTTATTTTTCCCCAAATGAGTTTCCATGATGATCTAAACCATTCAAAATTCTCCCTGATTTCTGAGGGTCCTGGGCGCACGCTCTGAAGCGATGAGCAGAGCAGCTTGCATGTGTCTAATGTTTTTGAGCGACGAATGGGCAAACTCAATGACAACTGACGTGTGACAAAGCTTTTTCTCTCTTTCCCAAACAGCTAATATGCCCGAGGATTATCCAGATCAGTTTGATGAGGTAGTGGACTTTATTCAAGCCACCATTAAAAGACTGAGGAGGTCGCCGGATAAACAGACTCCGATTTTTTCTAGGCGGGAGAGAAACCGGCAAAATGCAGCCACGAACATAGAGAATTCCAGCAAAAAGGGAAGGAGGAATCAAAAGGGCAAAAATCGAGGATGTGTCTTAACAGAAATACATTTAAATGTGACTGACTTGGATTTGGGATATGAAACCAAAGAAGAGCTAATTTTCCGGTATTGCAGTGGATCTTGTGATGCAGCCGAGACCACCTACGACAAAATTTTAAAAAACTTGACAAAAAAGAAAAAACTAGTCACTGACAAAGTGAGGCAAGCTTGTTGCAGACCCACAGCCTTTGATGATGACCTGTCCTTTTTGGACGATAACCTGGTTTACCACATACTGAAAAAACATTCCGCAAAAAGGTGTGGATGCGTCTGACAGCTGCACGCCAGAGGCGGCGCCAGTTTTGCTTTCCTGCTACGATGCATCCTGGGGAAGTGTCTGCTCAGAGCGGAGAAAAGAGGACCAAGACTGCTGAAAGAGGAGTCGTGAGAGCCCGGGGGGGCGCAAGGCGGTGTAGGAGGATGGAGGCTTTTGACGTCCTACGGGAAAGTAAATAAAAGCTCAGGTGGAGATGCCGACGGCTGGATGGCGTGCGTGCTCCCTTTCCCGTTTGACACAGTCCACCGTCAGTGAGACTTGGATCCATGAGGAATGTGCTTAAAAACACAACCTTGCCATACCACGCTACGTTGTAGTTATACCATCCGTGCCAGGAAGCTTAGCTGAGAAGTAGCTTAGGAGTACCTTACTCATCCTCTGTGCCCTTTACCGAAAGACACGTTATGCTACTGCTGGAAGGGCAGTTCCTAAGCGCTTCAGACAACTTCTAAGCTATAATAAGATTAACCTCATAAGAAAGATGGTATTGGGCAAATACCAAAATTCCTAGGCTCAAGTTCTCTAGGGCCAGTATCGATATGAAGCAAAACAGTTCCACTTACTGGTTAAGTTTGGTTACTTCCATCTTGTGTTTCTTCAAAATGAGTGTAGGATTTCATTCTTCTGCTACCTATGAAAACAAGTTGAGTTTTTAAGCACTTCTTCCTAGTATAGTAAGAGAAATAACAAGCCCGGCCTACACAAAACGTGTTTCTTTTGGTTTACAAAGGACTAACGTCACTTGCGTAACTCCGTTTCTGTTTGGTCATTGTGAGTGAGCAGAGACTACTTGATGCAATGCATCCATTCAGAGACATAAATATACAGAAGATATTTATTGAGATTAAGTTATTGTTATTTATTACAATTCAGTAATGAGTCTCCTTTCCTTATTTATTAAAGTTTCTTTTCAAAGGTGCCAAAGTAGAAGGTGCTTGGAAGATACAGAGAGACAAAGAAGTTGGGAACAACGGTCCGTGGGTTTGATTGAAAGTGTTAATTTGAATGCAAAAAATCACTTACTTTACCTTTTTTTCTATTAAACAAAATCCTGATTATGTTCACAAAATGTAGTGCCGAAGCCTGCAGCCCTTCCTCCTGTTCACTAATACTTCTGAAAATTACTGCAGTCATACATGTGCAGGAGCAGTAATGGTTCTGGACAAGTGAGGGTCGCAGGACTTGGCTCAACATTAGCAATTTGTTAGAAAAACTAATTCTAGTCATATTTTAAATATAGCCACATTTTTTCTCACACTTTTTGCCAGCTGACCTCATGTAACTATTGACAAATGGAAAATAATCACATTTAGCTTTATAATTTCTTGTTATATTTATTTAAGCTTTTCCTTCCATATTTCCATATAGAAGAGGTTAAATCCCTCATACTAGTTAGCCCTGGATTTAATATAGCCTGCAGGTAAACAATTGTGTTAAATAACCAAAGTGTTTTGTATAATTCGCTGAATCGTTACAGGATCATACCCACGCAGCAGAACAGCCTGAGTGTCCTTAGGATGAGGGAGGTTGTACAGCAAAGGTGTTCATACCTGACTGCTAACACAAGCTCTCATTCTGGAGACCTTTTTCCTGAAGGAACAGCAGTGCAGGTCACTAGACATACCTGACAACCAGTGAAGCATCAACTCCCACAAAAACAACAGGAAGAAAAAAAATCCCTACTGAAAACCAAAAAATGATGGTCCAACCTTTTATCTCATGGATGCAATGGCTCTTCGTATTCATTTTGCCCTGGGCCCTTCAGGGCGCCACAGAAGAAGGGTCTAGAGGTCAAAAAAGTCCAGAACAGGCATGGAAAGATGTACCAGGTGTATGAAATGCAGTTCAGCCCTGACGTCTGCTGCTTTCCTGGGGGGATGGAGGGCAGCCCCAGAGCCCACCCGCAGGGTCCGTTCTTGCACTGCCACAGGGACACCTTACCCTCCACACTGGGCAGGGGTGGTACAGCTGATACCACCACGAGCATCGGCATGATTTGGGCAGTAAAAGCCTGCTAAGCTGAGGGTCAGCTGCGCTGCTGAGCAGTTGACGAGGCGCAGCACTCAGAGGTGCGCTTTCACTTGCCCTGGCTGCTGAAAACTTGCCCCAAAGCATTTTCTGCGCAGCTTGAAGAGGCTGCAGTCAAAGCAAATCACTATGTTCAAAATACAAAAGGGTAAAGTTCGTGATTTTTTTTTTTATTTTTTAGACCTTACTGAAGACAGGAGTGTGCTTCTCTGGAGTTTTTTACTTCACCTGCGATTTATGTCTCAGTCATTTGTGTTAATCAACCAAAGTTCTCTACAGACTTTATTTTTGTACAATATTCATTTTATAACTTTTTACAAAATAAAACTCATTTCTATTGTTACCTGGTTGTTGCTTGTGCTTCTTCCCCATTGTACCACTTTGAAGTTACAATATTGCCTGGTTCCCAACCCGCATGGGACAATGCTGAAGAGCCAGTAAGTCCTCTACGCAGTGGAGCTTTCCTCTCCCATCTCACCAGCATCTTTAATGTGGATCAGATATGTCTGTAGCTTTTTAGCAGAACATAACATTAACGGGCCACTGCAATAAATGGCTCAAAAATGCATGGTAAGCAGTGACACAGTAATCAACCCAGTGGCAGGCGTGAAGCTTGGTGTTACCCAAGCTGTCCCTTGCCCATGCGGGGCTGCAGTGGCTTCATGGTGGCCTTGGCTAGGCACAGCCACAATTCCCGTACTCGGAGGAGATGTGCATGTTGCTTTGCTAGCCCAGGTGTTTTATCAGTTGGACTAAATTCCATCCACTTTGGTGGGCCTTTTCCCTTCATCTTTAAATAGGAAAACACAATTTGAGGAATTTTCCGCCACTATCATGGTAAAGATGAGGGCAGGTTTTGTGGCTGTGGCCAGCAACATTTTCTCAACTGTTTTAAGTGCCACAGTTCCCATCACAGAGCCGATAAACGCATGCTGACTTACAGATTTTGACACCGGGCTCTGTACTCCTCAAAACCGCTACAGGGAGGAAGAGGGAGCATCTGAGCAGTCAGCCAGTCAG